TATATAAAAATAATTTAAGGAAATAAAGCATACTTTTTGTGCAGCCTTTATTTCTTCAACGCTAATTACCCCGGGAATAATCTTATCTTTCTCAATTAAGTCTAATCTCATTACTCCTTCTAATAATCCTGTTCAGTAGTACGAAATAGTATGATGTAAGACAAACTAGTATATATGTAAATCATTTTAAGAGAAAAGTACTTTACCACATTCGGCTTGAGGAGTTTCCAGAAGGAATTTTTATCATCATCATAAAATTCAATGGCAATATTAGAAATTGAACACTTTATAATTTCATTTCTCTTATTATAGAGTAACGTGTCAAATATCGAATCAGAGCCTGGTTTTGGACCTAAACCTAACTAAAATATAATATAATTCAATTATTGGATTATACTGTATACAATGTAAATCATTATTAATATGATTATTAAAAATATACGCGTTTTCTAGCTTCGTCATAAATCTTTCTATTAGTTGTCTTATGATGAAGAAAGATATTGTCTGGAGTAAATGTTGTATCCAGCTTTATTTTTAACGGCTCTACATAAGTATATGCGAAGATAAATTAAAAACATAAAATAATAAATTCAATACGTATACATTTGATCATTTTAATAAATTAATAAACTAACTTTCCAATAATGCTGGCGTATAAAGTTGATCTAAAGTAGAGCTTGTAATATTTATATCTCCATCCTTGTTTACTGTCAACCTAACCTTCATGTTTAAGAAATATATTAAATTTTATATAATACAATGATGATAACGATAATTAAAGTTAATTATAATGACATAATTGTGATTTATAATGATATTAATACACTTTTCTTGAGTTTTATTAATATGGTTAATTTTTAAAATTTTCAAAACGTGGATCACCATAAAGAATGTTATGTTTTCTTATTAAGGAAATTTTATCTATAACAATTATGTATATTGTTTTAAAAAAAATTATATATATATTTTTTTTAAACCAAATTTTCTTAGTTAATTTATAAGACGAAATAAGTGCATTAAAGATGTTATTATTATGAAAAGGAATAATAAGCACTTTGTGTTAACAATTGTTGTTATTATGAATTTTTATATAAAAGGCTTGGATATATTAACTAAATTCTCAATTTAAGGCATTGATATTTATGAAGATTTATTATAAAATTTTGTAATATAATTAATAAAATAATTAAAATTTTACAGTTTTAAATTTTAAAATTTTAAAAGAATTTGGATTATCGATTGCAGGTTTGAAACTTTAAAGATTTTGAATTCGGCACTACATAGTCCTTAGACAAAACCTGGAAGTTTCATCAATGGAGAAGGGTGAAACCTGGTTTCGATTTTTACTAAAAAATAAAAGACGAAGCTGGGAACGAAATTATTGGAAGGTGAAATAGTGAAAGGAATTGACCTGAAGTTGAAAAACTAGAAGTGAAGTTAAAGCTAAAAAATTTTAACGAAAATATGATTTTGAAAATAATTATGTAACGCGTCGTTTCACTAACATCCTAAATTTGCATGCGTTATTTGTGATTCTTTGTACGGATACACAATCTAACTGTATGTTTAACCGCATAAATTTTTCATATATCTCAAGAATTAGCTGGCCAGTTACAATACAAACATATTTGAGACTCTACAGATCTGTATAATTTGGCATTGACTTTCAATAGCATAATATAGCCCGCTCATTCTCGGGAAATCTCTTTCAAATTTTAGACACATTATAATTCGTAAAATTTTATCTCAGGAACAAATTGATTATTTTACAATGTTCGTTTTTTAATTTCGAATCCTATAATCTTTAAAAGTTGAAAATATGCTTAAAGTCAAAGGTTGTCAAATAATTTTCTAAAATAACTTATTTTTAAAAATATTTGGGCGATGTGCAGTGATATATGTGATTGTTTATGCATTAACACGGTTACTTCTAGTGCTAAAACAAACTTGGGAAAATTCACAGGTTACTTTGTGGGAAAATATGACTTTATTGAGCAAATTAATTTATTATTATTTTTTTTTTTATAGACTTTATAAGTAACATAATAGGCTATTTAAAAAATAGCAAATAAACATGTCTTACAACCTCATAAATAAGCATTTAAATATATAACTAGATTGATTTCTAATTAATAAAATTTATGATTGACAGAAAATATTAATATATATATTATAAATTACACAGCTTATACCTTAAGTTATTTAAGTTAAATTTAAGCTAATATTATTCATTTCTGTTGGTTATGTTTTTCTCAATATGCATAAGTTGATTAACCAACTTTTTCAACGTAATTGGAGAATAAAGAGCGTATGCTACTCCCCCAACTTTTGCAATTAATTTCTTTGTCAACTCATTTCCTTTATTATTCGGCAATACTATAAAGATTATTGCCAAATTATTATTATTTCTTTCTAATCCTCTTAACTCGAGTACAGCCTTCAAGGCCTCCTCCTCATTATTTTCATAAAGGCTAACAAATACCATATCATAAGCAAACTTATAATGTAATTCTTCATATTTTTTTACTTCCCTAATACCCTTGTCAAAAGTAGCAAATGCATCAACTTTTTCAGCATATTTAAGATATTTTAGCATTACATTTCTTACATTTTCAATTGGATGAATTACCAGTATTCGCTTATGTCTTATAATATAGCTTATTTGATCATCAACATTTGCTTCTGATAATGAGGATGTAATTGATAAAAACTCGAAATTCCATGTAAACCAAAATTTACTTCCGCGCCCCAACTGACTTTCTACATTAATTTCTCCTCCATTAATTTTTACTAAACTTTTACAAATTGAAAGGCCGAGACCTGTACCATCTTGCTTCTTGGTTATTGACATGTCACCTTGTGAAAAGCTTTTCCAAGCATCTTGCATATATTGCGGATCCATGCTATTATTAAATAATTTACCTTAAATATATGTTTAATTAAATATACTGTAGTGTTTATAGTTATAAGTACAGAAGTAACCTACCCGATGCCAGTATCGTATAATTCGATTAATAGACTTCCTTTTTTAACAATTTGACTATAAATTGGATTCTCATCAACTTTTTCTGATTGCATTGAAACAGTCATCATGATTTCACCTTTATCGGTAAATTTAACTCTACAGTAATGATTTATAAATATAATATAATATACTGTATAATGAAAAGAAAAAAAATAAAAATATATAAAAATAATTACGCATTTGACAATAAATGATATAAGACTTGTCTTAGCCTATTTCACAAAATATAATATAGTAAGTAATACACTCTTATCTTTGTGCGCTTAATACAGTGTAAAATATATTAATCACCTTTCAGGATCACTCTTAATATATCTCGGTAATAGATCTACTTCGCAATTTATGATTAATTCAATATTTTTTTCACCAGCTTTTTTTCCGAATTCCTCAATTGTGTTCTCAAATAATTCTAATAAATCAAAAGTTCTATTTATTAGAGAGATTTTTTCTGCTTCTAACTTTGCTACATAAAGTATATCGTTTATTACGGATAACACGACATCAGAAGCACTTGACATGATATTAATCATATCCGCTTGATTAGCTGTCAAAGTAGCACTCTCAAAGGAGGAAAGAATACCCACGATTGCACCTAATGGTGTTCGTAGTTCTACAATAATATTAAGATTAATTCGAATTATCAAAATAAAATTTTAACAGCATACTAAACAATAATATACCATGAGATGTATTTGCTAAAATTTGACTCTTTGTATAACTTGCAATTTCAGCAGCTTTTAATTGAATTTCTTTCTCCTCATTTTCCTCTGATAATTTGGAATAAGTAATAGCTAAACTTATTTGATTAGATATTTGTTGTAATAACTCTACTTCAGAATCGAGCCAAATAGAATTTGGAGATCTATGAACTTTTATCCATCCCCAATCATTATTATTCAACCTTAATTCTACTGATAATTCAGATACATTTTTATTAACATGATCACAATATGTATCCAAATATATATCTGTTCCCAAATTTAAACCTTCTTGCAACTTGTCAAATGCTTGTGAATCATTTCCATTATTATTGAATTCCATAAATGGGTTGGTTATCTGCGTTATACTTTCAGTGCTTTCATATAATGCAACTATTTTATTACTTTTGGATTCAGATTGTTCATTTGAAATAATAACTGTTCTTTCACATGGTAATCTATAAAAAATTTCTTTAACAACATAAAATAGCGTTTCATCTAGATTTAATTTGGAAAAGATCTTGTTCGATATTGAAAGCAATAATTGTTTTGTCTCTTCTTGTTTATATCGTTGAAATAATATTTTATGACGAAAATGTGAAAGCTTAATATTAGTGCGAATACGAGTAATTAGTTCCCGAGAAGAAAATGGTTTTATTAAATAGTCATCGGCTCCTTTGTTCAAAGCTAGAGATATATGAAAAAAAAATGATGAATAAAATGAAATGCACTTAACTTACTAATATTTCATAGTTAATTACCTTGAATTTTAGAATCTTCTTCAGCTTGTGCAGATAACAATATTACAGGAATAAGTTGAGTTTTTACATCAGATCTTAACACATCTAATAACTCATGTCCAGTCATATTCGGCATCATAACATCTATTAAATCCAAGTACGGTAATACATTATGATTTAATCATCGTTTATGTATAGTAAATAGAGACGCTACGATTATAATTTACTTGCCACTAAGTATTAAATCAGGTAGTTTATTGAGCCTCTTCAAGATTTGAATAGCATCTTGGCCGTCGCAAGCACAGTATACGTCAAATTCTTTTAGCAGTTCCACCAAATAATCTCTATAAAATGTTTCTAATAATAAGAAAAAATTTACAAAATTCCTAACATTATTAGCAAATAAAATATTACCGCAAGTTATTATTATCATCAACAATTAAAATTTGATATTTTTTGCTATTATTTGCAGTTAACATTATTTTATTGTTCATATTTTGATCATTGGTTGACCCTTGGTCCATTATATAATATTGAGCTTTTGATGTATTATTTTTTATCCATTGAGAACTTTCCTCTAAGTAAAGTTGCCGATTAGTATATAATTCATGACCATGGTTTATTTGGCTTTCAACGTTGTTAAAGTGTATTTGATTTTCTGTTAAGTGTTCACATCCTATTGGAAACCAACATTTAAACGTCGTTCCATGATTTACTATTGAAGTCACAGTGATATCTCCACTATGACGCGTAATAAACTCTTTTACGAGAGCCAGGCCTATTCCAGTACCTTCATGGCTACGTGAACCTTGAGTTTCTACCCGATAAAAACGCTGGAATATATTTGGAAGGGCAGTCTCTGGAATACCAATACCTAGATTTAAAAAAAAAAACATGTAGAAGTAATCCAGTTTGAGATACGTATGCACTTTAAATAGTTATATATGGCAATAAATTCAACAAAAGAATATTTACCTGTATCTGAAACTTCAAGAACTACCATTTTTTTATTATCTTTATAGTCAGAATATAAACAAATTGTTATAGACCCATTCCAAGTATGCTTTATTGCGTTCGAACCTTTAACAGGCAAAATTTCTTAGTATGCATGTTTTAGTTTGTAGAAAAAATAATAAATTTTTATTTTTGCTGTGATATATATGTATAAAACACTTACAAAGATTAAAAACAATTGTTTCATACATATCATGATCCAAGTAAATTTTATCTCCTAGAGTTAATTCATCATGATGTGGAATATCGATATGATAATCCAAGCCTAATGTTTTAGCCATATTTTTGAAATCTGAAGCTAATTCTCGAGTAAATTCAGCTATGTTTGTTTCACAATAGCGTGCTTCTAATTGATTTGTTTCTATATTTGAAAACTTTGCAAGAAATGAAGTAAATAGAATAGGTCCAAAAATTAGGTTTAATAATTGTTGTTATTAATATTTAAGAACATTATACCTTACTTGTAATAAAACGTTAATAAGTTTGAGTAATCGACGACCGTTACGTCGTATAGTTTGAAGATACGACATTATTGGAGTTTCTTGTGGACAAGCATTAATTGCGTCGTCAAGAGGTGAGAGCATTAAGGTTAACGGTGCTATAATAATGATAATAATAATAATTTAATAATAATGATGATGATGATAAGTCTATTTATGCAATAATTTTCTAAAAAGCAAATTAATAATAATTAATACTTTTTAGTTCGTGACTAATGCCTTGAAAAAATATCATTTTTTGATAATTTAAATCAGCCAATATTTTAGACCGTCTCTTTTCCTCTTCTATAGATTGCCCATGCAATAAATATGTACTCATTTGACTTGTGACTAGCTAACAAGGTTTGCGCGTTTGAGTATTATATATAAATAAATGAACATTATTAATTGTGCAAACTTTTCATACTTGCAAAAATTCCATATACTTCTTATTAAGTATGCTAAGTCGATTAACACCACAAATTAACACAGCTGATAAAGATTTCCCTCCACAAAGTGAAATCTTTGTTGGTAATAATACAGCTCGAGATTCATCTTTTAAAAGAACATTTACATGACTTTCTTTTTTAATTACTAGGTGTATTGGCCAAGATTCACATTTTAAAAATGAAATGGTTTCAGTACCCCGTTTTAATTCTATGTATGTGTCGTAGTTCCTATTAGCATCTTTGGCTAAATAAATTATCTCAGGTGTTTCTGGTAAATAATCAGGAATATGCCGTCCATCTTTTCCATCTTTATCAAAGGTCGTGGAGATTAGGCGGGCGATCAATGATTCCAAACTAGTATTAAATTTATGTTCGACAAAATAAATTAATGCATAAGAAATATCTATACTATTGCTTAACACATCCGTAACAATATGACAGACACTTTCTAAAGATTCAATTTCTTCAAGAAATAATATGATGATATAATGTGTTAACAAAAAATATTCTAACCAAATAATTAAACAGAGGAATTATGAATACCAACCAGGAGTCCGCTTTCCAAATTCGCTCAGTATCTTTAATCTTCTAGTATTTAAAACATTTTGAGTAGTTTCTAGTGCAATATCTAATATACCACAGACTGTACCATCTGATTTGAAAATTGGGGTAAATGAAGTGGTATAATAACTCTCTTCACTATATCCAACACGCGGTGCTTCAAAAAATTCATCTTTTTTAAAGTGTCCTTTTCCAGTCGTTCTTACTCTAAATATATTATGAGAAGTTTAGACATTATTAATAGAAGTTTATTTAAGTGATAACTAAACTTACCCTTCTAATAGTGTAATAACAATATCACATAATGTTTTGGGCCAAACATCTCTCATTGGTTTTCCTAATGCTATTAATTTTAATAAGGGTGTTATTTTGGTAAAGTTGATAATAAATGTATGAGACTAATTTGTATTAACCGTATGGATGTTGCTGATATAAATGTTCTGAAAACACTATAAGCAAATAGATTAGATATTAAAGTAAATTGAATAATTAAATAGACAAAAGAAGTAAATTATTCATAAAAAGTAATTCTGAAATAAATTACCATCATTATATAGAAAGATCCATTCTGGGGGACCGAGAAAGAGACAGATGGGAAACGTAGAATTGAGGCACATACACTACATTAACAAACGTGATCTTATATATTATATTTTTTTAAATAAACCAAAAAATATATGGCATTGATTTTCTTTGTAAAGAATCTCTATATAACAAGCTTTCGAATGTAGCAAACTAAAAATTTTAAATTTTATGCTAGTTCGTTATAGAATTAACTGTATATGTGTTTAAAGTACCATAGCTGTTTTGATAGTAGGTTCCCACGAGTCCATAGGGCCAAGTGAAGTTGATGACCAGTCAAAATTATAGACCATGTTTATCATGTTTGCTTCTTCACTTTTGGTATCATTGGTACTTGTCGAGGGTAGTGGCATTTAGTTTAAATAAATAATTAATGATGAAAAAACTATAAAAGAGAGTTATGAGCCAACAAGTCATTTAAAACAATTATTAAAGATTACATTGAAACTTGTTTTAGCAAAAAAAAAACTTGCTTACATGCGCAATTATCTGAAATATTTTTCAATATGTGGCTATATTTAAATTAAAAGAGTAACTTCGATTAACATATATATTTAATTTTTTTATCGTCATAAACATTGCAAGTACGTAACACATTACACGCAGGCACGTACGTAGGTACATACGTATAATGTGCCAAAACAATAGAAGATCATCTTACATAATCTTATGTAAGACCGATTAATAATTCCAGTTTCTGAAATAAACCATTGAAAAAATTAAATGCTTTATGTAATTCACTGATACAGAAATTTCTGTTCGTATCTAGTAGCTGCGCAACTACGTTGCACAATCCATATCCGAAATTCTAAAAATGTTAACCAAACAACTTACTAATATAATTAATAACTATGCGCTTGAGTTGTTTAAAGGGAGTTAGAAATTAGTATGCTATACCGAATTGTATTATACTCTGGTCACCATATCAAGATTGGAGGTATAAATCAGTTATACTCTGGGTACTATGTTTATAGGCGAAATTTCATTTCCGCTTACACACAATTACCCAAGATATAACTATTACTTATGGCTACTTAATAGTTGCACAACAGAATTTTCGGTAAAAGCGTATTTATTTATAAATTTGACAAGATACAGTCTACCCTCGTTTATATCAACCCATTTGGATTGGTTTAAATACATGTTGATAGTGATTTTAACAAGGGATTATATTAAAGACGATACATATGAAGGAATTTTAATATATAAAATTTGTAAAAATTCATCATATGACTTAGGTTGATATTAACGAGGTTGATATTAACGAAGGTATATTTTAAATGACATCCGATTTACTATCGAATGATAAAAAAAAAAATCGACATAAAAAAGAACCTTCAAAATTTTAACTTTAAGATCTATTAACGAACTGCTATATTTTTTCAGCTTAGGGATATTATGGTGTACTATGTATTTCGTATTGTATTATTGCATCCTCTCTTTAAAAATTGTCCGAATAAAGAAATATATATTTAAAGTCAAGGATAAATGTATGCATCGCACACTGCGATGTGCTTATATATCACATATATATAATTATTTGTTTAGGAGTAACATGGATAAACAACGTTAGTTAGGATTATAGTTGTTAGATGAAACCTTGAGGTTTCGCGCGGACAAAAATGCGAAACCTAGTTTCGTCTTTGTCAATTAAAATCTTAAATGACGAAATGACTAAACTGACGAAAGGTGACGAAACTGATGAAAGGTGACGAAACTGACGAAACTTTAAAAGGTGACAAAACTAATAAATATTGAAAATATTGAAGATTATGTGTATAAAAAATAAACTAATAAAACAGAAATTTATTAAATTACAAAAAATTTTATTGTATAATAGGCCGTTTGAAGTTAATTCTTTGGTTAACATCACTTTCTAGGATTTTTTGAAGGTGGGAGGGGGGAGAATGAAATGAACAAATAAAATGAACAACCTATTTTTAGAGTTGTAAATCTATTATAACAAATTAGCTTTTAGTTAAAATTTGGTCTATGGGTTTTAGCTGAGTTGCTCAAAGTTAATTATCTAGTTAATATTAATATTTTTTTATCTTTAGCGTGAAGAGAATACAAATTTTATTGTGTAGAATACATAGATCAATATATAATATATTAATAAGTTATTTAATTTTTAAAAGGATAATTAAATAATAAAACCAAAATTTTAATTTTAATTTATTTTACCAATAATCGACTGCCACTTTATTTGCCATTTTTTTTTAATAAAGTATAAAAACTTTGATATATAAATACTTGAAATTTTATCATAATTATATAAATTTCAAGCGTATAAATAAACATAAAATATTTAATTATATTTAAAAATATATTTTGCATATAAAGTTTAAGTATAAAATTTTTTTTTTTGAAAATAGGCTATTAAGCTTATATTCTATCAAATATAATAATCTTAATAATTTTTTTTTTTTAAATTATTTAGGAGATCGAGTTTCCCAGTTTTTTCCTTCGATTTGGCACAATGCACAAGGCGGATAAATTGATTTCCAATTTTCTTGCATTTCAGAAGGAATTTCGAGTAATTCATCCTCTGAACCACACCAAAAGCATAAATCTACATCTTTAAGTCTACAAGAATAATAATTATGCTCAATTGGTAAATTGCAAGTTAAATTAAGATGTATATAAAGAGTATTCGCAAGAAAATGATCATCTGAAACAATTGGCAATCCACAACTATATATTATATTATCAAAATATTGAGTAATAGCTTCCATTTCAACATCATTTAATACAGTTTTGGAATATATACAACGATACTTTCCACAAAAGTCACAAGCAACTAACAATCGAATAAAATTATTTACAAAAATTCCTGCAGAAATTTCTTCAGATTTTAATTTTTTACTTGAAGGTTTAAATTGCTCTGTTGTTTCTTGTTGATATATCTCATCAAATTCTTTATAATGCTGGTTATCTAATAAAAATAATATAATTAGTTATTAATATTTAATTAATTGTATTAAATACTATTATATAAATAATTATAATTTAAACCCAAATAAGTTTAAAAAAATCTGTTTTATAAATTTGTTGCTTTTAATCAAAGCTACAATTTTGCTAAAACAAGGTTTACTTTTTTATATAATAATTTACCTGATGATATTTCTGGATCTGGAAAAAATGTTAATAATTCAAATTCATTATCAGGCATTCTAATTGGTTTGCAGAAACAACAATCTAAATTTCTATATTTTTTTGATTTGAAATATATAACACTAATAGTACACCATTAAAGATTAGTATTTAAACTTTAGCTTATTATCAATATATAGTTTTATTTAGTAGTACACTATTAAAAATTAGCTTCATCTGCAATTATAATTTAGAGAGGTCTAACTGTAGTGATTTTTAATAATATTATATACTTACATTAAACAATTCATCAATATCAGAATTTGTAGCAGGACTTCTAGTTATAAAAGTATTATCATGAAGTTTTAAATATTCCATTCGAATATTTAAAAGTGATTGAATATTTGATATTAAAATTTGTAATTCATTTTTTAAACTAGGTAAATTTTCAGCCTCATCGTAAATTTCTTCTAATGTTTTAAGTGAAGCAAAAGTTTCTTTAGATAAACTACTCATAGAATCTCATTGTAAAGAAACATTTTATAATGAAAGATTTAAAATTGACAATATTCTTTCAGCTGGATTAGTCCAACTATGATAAGGTGCTATACGTACTGCTAATAACATATCAAAATTTCTTTGTAAAAATAAACAAATAAGTGAAATCTGAACTGATCCATAAGTACATCTATGATCTGGCCCACCATCAGTATATAGAGCTAAAATTTCAGGTAAATCTTCATTATAATAATCATTTAAAATTTGATAAAATTCAGTGGCATGTCTAAGTGCTGTACTAGGTTGAAATATAGTATCTTTGTATATTACTTATACCTGACCATTATAAAATGACTATTGGATCATCAGGTATTGTAGCTATAATTGTTACAGATGGTGTCAAAGATAATTTAGTAAAATTATGATCATTAGCTACTAATGTTGCATTTGCAGAAATAGCTGAATAATGATTGCATACACCAGTTGAAGTTGGAGTATCTTCTCCTATAGGAATTTTATGTTTATCATTAGCAAAAATTAATCCAAGATTATTTTTAAATTTTACTGAAAAATGGCGAAGATATTTAAAAATTGCTCTGCAATAATGACTATCAGGATGTGATTTTCGTAAAAGACGTGCTTGAACTTTATATTTAATTTCAAATTGACCTACATATTCAGTACTAGCTTTAGCTCAAGGATTTTTAGGAAGAAATTGATAACTAATCCATCTTTCAGAAGGAATTGCAATATTATCGAAATCTGCTATATTTGACAACTTATTTTTAATTCGAGTAATAATTTGATCTTTAAGATTACGTACAGAAATAAATGATGGCATATAAAGTATTGATCTATATCTGCGATCTTGAACTGCTGGAGTATTCTATTATAAATAAATTTATTAAAAGTTTATATTTGTAATTTATAGTAAAAAAAATTGTAAATTAATTTTTATTAAATTTAATATAATAAATTAAAGTAAAATTAGATTAAAATAAAATTTTATATAACTAAATCTTTTAAATTTCATTTTAATTAATTTTATTATAATTTATAATATTTAATAAATTAATTTTAAATATTATCTCTTCAAAATATAATTTTAGTTCATCCCAAAAAATATCAAATTTGGTACCTTTAAAGCCATTATTAATTCTTAAATCTACTAAAATATCAGAGTCTCCAATTTCAAGCATTAATTTAAGACGTTCATCTAATTCTCTAGATTGAGAATTTTCTGATGCACTAATATCTCCTGTTAAATCATGTTGCAATAATGATAAAACATGGGGTGTAATTTTACTTAATAAGGAATACTATTAAAATAATTAAAAAATTAATATATATTAAACTATAAATTTACACTTTTACTAAAATGCACCTATGGTGTTTTACTACCTAGATCCCTATTTCTCAAAAACATACTAAGTAAATGGGATCGGATACTTTAAGTAAAAATGTTCAGAATCTCTAAAACCTTACAAAAACCAAGATGGGCTTATATTAGCTCTATATTATAATATATAAAAAAAAATAATTTTTAATACCCGAACCCTAACCCTAAATTTTATTAAATACAATTATATATGGTAGTAAAACACCATAGGTGCATTTTATAATAATTGATAAATTTATATAAATTAATTTATAAATTTACTTTTGCAAATATATTTTTACGCATTGCTCTAGTAAAATATTTTGGTAACTTATTTTGAATACTAATAATAGTTTGTGCATGCAAATTTTCAGATCTTATATT